CTATATAGAATAAAAGATATCGAAGTTTTTTGACTAGTTTCTCCCATCCCATCAAATATGATTAGAGAGTGGTGTACCACAAGCTATTCAAATTTTTATTTTTCATTATTTGTTTTCAAAATTGAGAAATGTATAAGAGCAACAGATTGAATTTTGTTTGAGTTTTTACCGGCACAACAAGGAAAGAGAAATTAAAATGAGGAAAAAAAGGAAAAAAATAAAAAAATAAAAACAAAAGAAATCTACCTTTTTACGCGCTCAACTGCACACACCAACTGACAGCTGGGCACGACTATGAGCCATATGCACAACTTTTCTCTATTTCTCCCAATTGCCGATCCGACAAAAATTTATATTTACAGGAAAAAAAAAAAAAAAAAAAAAGCTCATTAAAAACCATTCCCCCCATTTGTAAAAAATTCACCCTCAAGTTTTTTCCTTTCCAAAAACCACCATAAAGTCCATTGATGAGGTTTCCTTAAGTAAATATGTTTTCTATTTTTATTTATCTAAAAATTAAATATAGTGATAGGTGATAGTAAACACACCAAAATATTTTTAGTAATCTCGAAAGAAGTGTAAAGTATTATAAAATTATAAACTTATATCATGTCAAATAACATTGTTGCCATGTTGTATTTTGTATAACCCTACATGTTTAAATAGCATTAACAATACTTGATACAATCCGTTACATTTGTACGTTTATACATAATATGACACGATACTAGTGTTGGATTGACACATTTGAATCCAATAAATTCTAGTCTTTTTTTTCTTCTAAAATGGAAAAATTAAAGAAAATAGAAGTGATATAAAAAGGGAATTTCAAAAATGATAAAATTATGTTTCTGTCAGTATTTATGGAAGATATTTGGTAGTAATTTGTAACCAAAAAAAAAGGTAACCTTGTCGTGGAAAATGTGGTAATTCATAATAAAATAATAGAATAATTATAATAATAAAAATTAGTACTATAGTAAGATTTCAATGGTACATTCTTTTATTACCAAATCGAGACTTAGGATGTTTCATACAATTTGCCTCTTATCTGTTTTTTTTTTTTTTTTTTTTTTTCAAAAAATAAAAAATCTGGTTATATTTTGCACTTTCCCAAAATACCCCAATGAACTCTCTTGTGTGTGTGTAACACATAAATAACACGTGTTTTAGCATAAGATTAATGTATGATTAATCTTAAGAATCCCTTAAAATGATATTTTTCTCGTCATGTGGTGTTTCTCATTTGTTGGATGATCGGAAAGAAACAGAATTAAGTTTCCCCCTAGCATATTGGGTCAATCGTTTGTCAAAGGGTATAGAGTAAAATGAAAGTAGGAATGACAATGTGCCCCGTCTCCGATGGGGATCCCCGATCCCCGCCCCGATTGAGATGGGGATGGGGAAAATTTTCGGGGAACAGGGACGGGGACGGGAAGTATGTGCAATTTCCCGTCGGGAACGGGGACGGGGATACCCCTCCCCGTCCCCGAATATATAAATAAATAAATAAATATAAATATAAATAAATAAATAAATAAATATATATATATATATATATATATATATATATATTTATTTATTTATATGTATATATAAATACTGGCAGTAAACTATTTATATATGTACGTAATGAGATATATATATATATATATTATTAATGTTGTCATTGTATATTGTATATATAAGTGCCAGTAACGCCCTATACTATATATACAGGCAATACATATATATATATATATATATATATATATATATATATATATAGTATTTTAATTTTTGAAATTAGGATTTAGATTTTTAATTTTTAAATATTAAAAATTACAATTATTTAACATTTTGACTAGGAATTGACGGGGAATGGGGAATTCCCGTCCCCGCTTAATTCCCCGCGGGGACGGGGATGGAGAATATTTTCCATTCCCCGTGGGGAACGGGGACAGGGACGGGGATGGGGACGAGGTCGCGGGGACGGGGACGGGGAGTATACTCCCCGCCCCCGCCCCGCCCCGTTACCATCCCTAAATGAAAGTATGTGTTATAGAACATATAATATAATAAAATGAAAGTATACAACTTGCATATTTAAAAAAAAAAAAAAAAAAACATGAAGTCTTTCTTAATTGTCGAGTTTTAAAATATATATGAGTTGTTGTCTAATTTGCATAACATTGATTACCTAATGAACATGTCTAATGCATTTTGAATCTAGCTAGTTCGAAGGTTCTCTAATTGCGATACCAATGTTGAAATGCAATTCTATACTTGATCAAAATCAAAATATCCTTCAATTAAACTAGAAATGTCTTGGCTAAGCTCAAAAGGGATGGTTAAGTCGGTAGATTGATTCTCATACTTAAAATCACGAGTTTGATTCTCGTCAACCCCTTCTTAGAACAGTTCGTGACACAATGTCTTTCTAGTGTGGCTTAACTCTATTGTGTGATTTACGAATTACTTTGTATAACATAGGAACAAAGTAGGGGTTGCGGAATACTCGACTATATATATATATATATATATATATATATATATATATATATATATATATATATATGGCTTGCACTTGAAGCTTCAATCCTATTTTGCATTAGTAAGTTTTGGTGGCTTGAGAGTTGTGCATGCTTTAAATTTAGTGCATCGAGTTTAGATTATACAAAAGTACAAAACACAACATTATCACTACACAAAACACAAGTATCATAAAATGGAAAATTATTAGAAGATTTCACATTATAAGAAATTTAAGACATAAATAGTTTCACATTATACGTAAATGACTTATCAAATAAGATTCGTAAACAATTAATATTTAATTACTTACTTAATTTATAAAAATTATAAATATATATTTATTACTTTATTTTTTGAATATAATATTTTTTATATATTATATTATAAAATAACAAAATATTATAAATATTGTTTATTTTTAGAGGGGGGCAGTTTTTTTAAAAAATGCATTTAAAAAAAAAAAGTGCATTTATGATACGCTATCAAACAATTACACAGCCGTTGGCTAGTAGGCAGAGGCTAGTAGCTACATGCATTTTCATCAATGATACAATTGCCTATAGCCAATATAATATATTAATATGAGCATTAATTTCCAAAGGAATTTGTACAATATTACTGTACGAGGATGTGCACTACGATATAAAAAAAGTAACAATAATTTCGAACAATTATATTAATAAAGTATTAGTAAGAATAAAGTCATAATTTTTATGTACTAGAATTATATTACACTCATTTGACCATATTTTTTGAGCTAAATATATTTCTTTAGTACAAAATCAATTAATAACATTGTTACATAGAATATAGAAAAAAAATTAATTAAAAAAATTGAAAAAGATCATTAGAGCATTAAAACCCTCCCGTCTCCCCAAGAAAAATAGGAAGTAAAATTTGTTTTGGTTTGTTTCTTCTCTTTTCTCAAATACTGCTTATTGAACCATTGAATTAAGTTCGTACGGACTCATTTTGGTTTATTTATTTGTTAAGATTGATGCAAATAGAAGTGTCAAATGACAATCAGATAAAGTAATAGTTGATGGGTATTATGAAATTGTTAGGGGAACTCGATTGTTAACTGAATGGGTGAGTTTAGGCATTTTGGGGTAATTTTTCACCAATTTTTTTTGTTATGATGAAATAAGTGGAACTAAAGAGCGATTCAAGTATCACTTGAGAAAGTCACAAATGGGGAGGGTATGAGAAATACCTCATCTACATGTTATCACAACCATTTGAAGGCGGTTGAGAATGGAACAAACTTGTGAAACTAAATATATGAGTTTTTTTTTTTATTTTTATTTTTTTTTATATGATTTTAGAGTCTATGTCAAATTGGATTCACAACTTTCATTTATGACATGAGTAGTGATCCACTTTGATTTTTTTTTCTTCTTTAGATTTAGTTATTCAGACGGCATAACCGATGAAAACTCACCAAAAGTACCAATTCTCGCCCATTCCCAACATAAATACCACTTTTCGGTTAAATCGAGAAGTTAACCGAAGGTGAAATTCTTTCACCTTGTCGGTTAACTTATTGGTTTGACCGAGAAGTGGTACTTCAATTCCGGTGAGAGGTAATGACAAAAACTCACCGGAACTACCACTTCCTGGTCATGCCCGACATACATACCACTTGGTCATTCTTGACATACGTACCACTTGTCCAACAATTGAGATGATATCACCACGTTTCATTATATTCATAAAATAAAAAAGTACCAGAGACATATAAAATTTTTTAAAAAAAATTGTATACGCATTAAATAATCATTGTATATAAAATATTACACGTATCATGTAAAAGAACCAGGTAACAGGGTCTCAAAAAATTGTTGTGATAGTAGAAACTAGAAAGTGGAGAAGGGGGCATAGTGTAATTTGCGTTTCTTCAACCTCGAGTTTCTCTCTCTACACGTAGATTGACACACCTTTTCTTTATGGTGCTATTCCGATATATATAAATATATAAATCTGGCAAAAACTCATAAATACGAACAAATCCAGCTGTATTTCTACGAGTATAAAAACTCCCCACTGTTTAGCGGATTCAACATTGTGCTGTTTTCTCTTTCCATTTTCTTTTTTCTCCAGAAATAAAAAAGCGTTTGGGAATTAGAATATAGAGAGAGATAGAGAGAGAGAGAGAGCTTAAAGAGGGCATGGCTATGGCCTTCTTTGATTTGCAGAGAGAATCCAAAGGAACTCTCTTGTTAAAGCCCTGAAATTGTTTCAGCCCAAAAGAGCTACACCTATATTATATATATATATGGTTATATATATGTATATGTATACATATAGATACACAAGGAAACATATACGTATACTTTACCACAATACAGAGAAAACACAATTGCACAGTTTTGGTAACGCCATATTTCCAATCAAGTCCCCTCTTCTTTACTTCTTATCCAATCCGTAAGTTTATCTCTCTATCATTATTCTTTAATTTTTTGTGTTAATGTTTGTAATTTTTTTTTTAAAAAAATTAATATGCTCAGTTTCGGTTATGAAATAGGGATGGGGTTTTCTTTTTTGAACGTGGTAAATCGCTAAATCGATCTGGTTTAATTACTGGTATTGAAAACAATGCGAGATTAGAGGTTGGGTTCTGATTAATGGCGGTTTGGAGAAATTCTGGTGCAGGGTGTTGCCTGATCTGAATTTGAGAGATCTGGGTCGGCAAAGATTGATTTTTTTATGAATTCTTGCATGCCCATTTGGTTTAAGAGCTCTGGGTTTTTGTTGTTTTGAGGTGTGTTTGAATCTGGTTATCTGTCATTGTTGTGAGGTTTGATTATTGGGAAGGGCTCTTTGAATTCTTGAATGGTTATATGTTGTCAGTTGATCTGTATTCTCCTGTGATTTTGGATCAATTGGTTCAGGTTGTTTGCTAAAACTTGCAATTTCCCCTCAATAATTTCTTGTTTTTTCTGTTACTATAATTATGTGCATGGTACTAGACTACTAGGTAATATTACAGGAATCAACTTCTTGATTCAGTGTACATTGTTTTACTAGGTTTCTATTTATCTAACTAAAAATAGTTGTCAAGAATTTTGTTCAATAGCTTTTCTTATTTTGAATATATAAAATCTTAATCTGTTTTGTTATTCTATATTCTATGCTTGCATAGATTTGATCTTTTTTGGTTTGACCATTTGTTCTAGGTTCTTGATGCTTTCTGTGTATCTTTTTTCTGCAGAAAATTTGCCTGGTGAAGAACAAAGCTGCAGAATGAAATAAGGCCATAGGAGTGGTTCTTCTTTGTGGTGAACCCTGAAGGGATGTTGGAAGAGCGATCTTGTTTGGTATCGAGGAACTACGGGAGAGGGCATACGAGGACTTGTATGAATTGCCGGATTGATGTGAATGGCAAAAGGCCATTGGAAGATGACAAGGAGAACGAACTCGTTCCTAGCAAGTTTGCAAGGCAATCTGATGGTGTTTGTGATAGAGTCGATACATCTCTATCCCTAGGTGTTTCTTCAGCGTCCTGTGCTGATGAAGTGGAAACGAGTCTAACGCTAGATGGTGATATGTTGGCCCCGACCATTGAGGATAATTCGGAAGATAGCTCTCTAATACCTAGTATTGGTCGAGATAATGCCATTAGTTGTCTCATTCATTGCTCGAGGTCGGATTATGGTGTCATGTCGGCTTTAAACAGGAGCTTCCGGTCATTAATCAGGAGCGGGGATATCTACAAATTAAGACGGATGAATGGTGTGGTTGAGCACTGGGTTTATTTTTCCTGCAATTTACAGGAATGGGAAGCTTTTGACCCCAATCGTCGTCGTTGGATGCGTCTTCCCACGATGAATTCTAACGAATGCTTCTGGTTCTCCGACAAGGAATCGTTGGCTGTTGGAACCGAGCTCCTCGTGTTTGGCAAGGAGCTAATGGCACAGGTCATTTATCGATACAGTCTACTCACCAATTCATGGTCGTCTGGGATGCAGATGAAAGAGCCACGGTGTTTGTTCGGTTCTTCCAGCAAAGGGGAGATAGCGATTTTCGCGGGTGGGTGTGACTCGCACGGTAAGATCCTTAGCTCAGCCGAGCTTTATAACTCCGAGACGGGAACTTGGACGCTATTGCCAAATATGAACAAGGCGAGGAAGATGTGCTCCGGGGTTCTCATGGATGGAAAGTTTTACGTGGTGGGAGGCGTTGGAGGGCCCGATTCGAAGCTTTTGACTTGCGGGGAGGAATATGATTTCGAGAAAAGAACGTGGACGGAGATACCCAACATGTCCCCCGTGCGTATGGCTGCAGTTAGGGAAAACGGCTTGCCCGCCACAGCTGAAGCACCGCCTTTGCTTGCAGTCGTAAATAACCAATTGTATGCAGCTGACTATGCTGACATGGAAGTTAGGAGGTACGACAAGGACAAAAAGGCGTGGGTTACTCAAGGAAGATTGCCCGAGCGAGCAAATTCTATGAACGGTTGGGGCTTGGCTTTTCGAGCATGTGGCGATAGGCTTCTCGTAATCGGGGGTCCTAGGACCGTGGGTCAAGGATTCATCGAAGTGAACTCGTGGGTCCCCAGCGAAGGACCGCCACAGTGGAATATGCTCGGGCGTAAGTCATCGGGTAGCTTTGTCTATAATTGCGCGGTGATGGGTTGCTAACAATGTGGATAAAGATGCCTCTTTTACATACATGATAGGATTAATGGGGCAAAAGGAATGTTGCTAATGGGTAATTTATCCAATCTTTTCTATTTTTTTTTTCTTTTCGCTTTCGAAGTTTTAGTTTCCTTTTCTCAGAGGGAGGAGGACAGGGAATCAGTATACTCAAGATTCGACACCATATTTATTTTCAAGGAGTCTTGAAACCAACATTTTCTGCTTCAACAATTCCATTTAATCGATTCGTCTTCCCCCCCATTCTCGTAACATGAAATTTCAGAGGTGGTCATCAGATAGGAAAGAGATAGGTTAATAACTTGAGGCAGGGTGCAATACAGTTGTAGATCTTGATTAGTGTTTGTTGAAGTTTCTTGAAGAATTGTAGACTTAGTTTCGTGTTTCTTTTTTCTTTTTTCTTTTTTTATTTTTCCATATTTTTCTTGGCGTTGCCGAGGAGGGGGAAAATAAGTTTCTTGGTTAGGACTTGTCAATGTACTGAACACCTTTGTTGTTGAAAAGAATGGGCTATACAGTGAATTTTTGGTTAAAAATTCTTTCTTGTTAATCAGATTTTTGGTTTTGATTCTGCTATAGCTTCAATACTTCTTTTTTCTCATCTAACTGCTAATGGAAGGTATGATATGCCCATAACCTAACTCTGGTGGATGGAAAGAATGCTCTAAATATAGGGGTTCGTTGGATAAACACGAGGTTTAGTTTAATCATATATTAAAATTTATCATCGTTCTTCAGAAATGCCTTAAATCTGTCTTTGTTGGATGAGAAACACGTCAGACAATGGTCTACAATTGGTAAATGCACAGGTATGATTCTATTCTTCGTAAAAAGATTCGTCTTTTTCGAGTTGTATTTGAATAAGGTATGCTTTAGCATAATGACATTCTTTATCACTTGGTATTTATGTTTCTGAAGCGATATTCCCGTCTTATTTTGCTATCTGCAGATTATGCTTTCTAAAAATCCGTGTTATTATAATTCTTGAAATGTTTTTCTTCGTTTTCCAGATTGTGTTGTTGGAATGAAAAGCGTTTCTTCGTTTGATTGTTTTCCTCTCATTCCCCTTTACAAATTAGTCGAGCTTTTGCAGGATTGTTCCACAGATTATCCAGCTTATGGGTCTTGGAGAAAAGAAACACACAGCGTAAGCAATTTTGGGAGGTACGTATTTGTGTATGTTATGTTGTTATTATGCCGTGTTTGCCCTCCAAATGTTTATTCCTAGATTACCCTTATGCTCGTGAACATGGAAGTTGCGTACTAGAATCATGTCTAGTTTTACGGGAATGTTGGGTTGAGGACCAAATCGAGTCCAAAACTAATCATTTGTCACTAAATTGAAACGATTAGAACATTTAGGACTAAAATGAAACCGAACTAAAAGCTCTAGTCTTTTACGACATTACTTGAGATTTACATAACCATAATGTCTTCCAATGGCATATTCATTTGATTTAAGGTTGTAGTGTAGTTGCCATGTTTATAGGAGACACGAGAATTGTGGTTGTCGTTTTTATGGGAGACATTGTGGTGTTGGAGTAACTAGTCACTTGTAAGTGCTTCTTTTTCTAATACGATATTTGAATTGACTATCCATAATGTCTTTTCGTAACATATTAATTTGACTTAAGGAGAAATCTAGTTGCCATAATGTTTTTGTTATGATGTATCGTGACATCTTAGGCGTATAATATAATATATCCCGTGTTAATTTTGCTACCATGAGGATTGAGGACCGAGGCATTGTAGAAACTTTTGTTGTATTTTGCAGATGATGTTTAAGCTTTCTCGTTTGTTTGTTTCCCACTATCGTCAAAAGTTTTTTTTTTTTGAAAATACTATCGTGAAAGTTGATGTTCTCTAATGCACTGCAATTGCGCGTTTTTGATGTTCTAGATCTATCTCTGCCATCGCTTAACTTGAAGATGGCGTGTTTTTGCTAGCAAGACGGGCAAATGACTAAAGAGGTATGAATCTTTTTGGTTATCATCGACTTCATTTGTGCTTTGCAATCGAAAGGTTGAAGAAGCAAAAATGGTTTCTTCCTGTATGTGTTTCTTTTGTTTCGTTCTACATTGAAGAAGGATAGTGCACCAGCCAATAGCTCGGGGAAATTGGTAAGCGGGTTGTTAATGCAACTATAAGGTTGGAGGACCCGAATAAGAGTCAGACTCTATGTCGGGTGTTTTTTGCAAAAGGGTAATGCAGCATGCAGTTTAGAACGACGTCGTTTTGAGCAAATTAAAACGAACAAATTATTTTATTATTATTATTATTATTTATAGAAAAGTTCTGCTATATGAAGATGCACTATGCACTTTGGGTAAATAAGTTGGGCTCAAACTAATAAATTCAATAGATAATTCAATAATTCTTAGATAGGGTTGAAGGTGATATTGCAGGCTGCCATGGCTGTTAGGCCTGACCTTTTGCTATTGGGCTCTCGTGTGATATTTTGAAAGGCTTAGTTACCTCAATAGTTATTGCATGGACCGTGACGATGTCGTTTCACGTATTTTTCTTTCAAAGCGATCCACTGTAATAAATATTTTTATAACTCATAACGTGTATTATTTTAAGGCATAATATATATTATTTTAACTCATAAAGAATAATTATTTTAACTCATAATTTGTATTATTTTAATTCACAAAATTCAACGACGTTATTTTAGACAGTAGTCCACATAATAATTTGCCTAGTTACCTTGCTTGGGCTTAGCCAATTCTTTTAAACAAATTATACTCTATGATTTAGAGCATCATTATTAGTTGGGGATATTATGAGATTATTGTAAGAATGATTAGGAAAGAGAATGTAGGAGGAGAGAGAGAGAAAAAACAAAACTGAATTATTAAAAAAAAAAAAAAAGTAAACAGTGAAGTCTTACGCAGTGCGCATAACGCGCACAACGTTTCCTTATTTATTTTTTATTTCTGACATTATCTTATATCTTGCAGGAGAAATAATTCTTGAAATAACTCCACCTCACATCTATAAATAACCCCACTCAAATTATTTCATTTGACATTAACACTATATTCTTCTCTCCTATAGAACATTGTAAGATGGACTATTAATACATATTTATTTTTTTATATATTACATATTTATTTATATGTAGTATACTAAAATGAGCATGTATCAAAATATAATGAACATGTACTAAAATTATAGTATAGTATAGTAAAAATAACATGCAATATACTAAAATGAATATGCATGTCAGTGGTTTATCTTACAATGTGATTCTTGGTTTACAATATAACGAATCAAATTTTATATTCGCAAGTTTGGGAATAATTCTGAAATAATTCGTAAAAGAAAGAAGGATTTCACACTTCGAAGGTTTAGGAGTAAAGATATGTTAATATTGAACTTATTGAATTGTGCCCAGGAACGGAGCCAGAAATTCGATTGAGGGGGGGCGAAGAAGCTAGTAGGACGGATTCAGAAATTTTTTCCAGTAAAAGTGAAACATTAAAACAAAAGAAATAATTTTAAAAAAAAAATTACCTAAGAATTTTTTTTTTTTTTTTTTTTTTTAACCATTACCTAAGAAATATAGTTGTAAATATTGTTAGATATGTGCGAACAAATAAAACACATCGAAACTTTATAAAAATATTCATAACAAAATATGAAACATAATTAATTTGATAAAATAATTCGAATAGAAAACACATTATAAATTACACATCTCACTATTAATATAAAATAATGTTATATATATATGTGTGTATATGTATTAAATATTAAAAAAGTGAATGTATTGAAGCCATAGGGGAAGGACTCAAAAATATGTAAAACTATGTAAATACAAGGATTTGAACCCTAAACCTTTCCTATTACCAAACACATGCTCTACAAACTAATCTAACTCCTAACTTGTTGACATTTACTAGTTTTTTTTTATACTAATACTAAAACCTATACTATATATACATATATACATACAAATATTATATATGGGGTGGGGTTGGGATGAGGGGGGGAAGCTGCCCCCCACGCCACCCTTTGACTCCGTCCCTGATTGTGTCTCTATTTAACACCAAATAGACGGAATGACAAACGGATGACTAAATTGAGCAAAAATACAAAAAAATGAGACAATATTACATCACCAAAATCATTTAGAACGAAATTGAGAAAAATCACTATGGTCATGACTATTTTAAATATTATACTCTATATGGAGAAACAATGATACCTATTCAAAATTATTCTTACTAAAAATAAATATTTGAATATTTGGATTTTGGCTTAATCTAGATTTGGAAATTTAGAAGCCATTCATTTATTTGGATATTATTGTTGTTAATCAAAATACCTAACCATTTCCAATCAAAATCATCATCTTCAATCTCTATTTTCAACGCACCCATTTCCTAATTTGATTTAAAATCTAATATTATTTGTTTTTCTCTCGGTATTTTGAAAAAAAAAAAAATCTATGCAATAAATATATATAGATTCCTAATCATATGACTATATGAGAACTATTTCTCAGGTGAGAACTTGGGAACAAATCCAAACCATTGATCTGCAAGAATTATTGAATGAAAAATCATGTAAAAAAGCTAAAAATTGAACGGGTAATATATATATATATATATATATATATATATATATATATATATATATATATATATATTAATTTCTAGTGACACCCAGCATCTTTCTATGACTAATCGTTTAAAGTTTGTAATAAATACGTCTCTACCTGCGATTCAATTCTAATATGGTTTGCTATTTAAAGTCCAATTTTGCTATTTTATGGGACAAAAATGTTGAAAAAATACTCTAGGCCTCTAGGGCTTGCTTAATTGTACAATTTTTTTTTTCTATTTTTCTATTTTTCCAACTCTACTATTTCACTTTATTTTATTTTTCCATCTCTGATTTTCTATTTTTATTCTCCACAAAAAAATATATATGTAAGAACTAGTTTAGAAACACAGAAAACATTTTTTAAGAAAATAATTCATTTTCTAAAAACAATTTCATTTTTTTATCTTTGGCAGAAAGTCAGAATTTTTTTTCCTGAATGTTAAAAAATTGTATTTTTTATGTTTGGTTCAGTTTTTAGAAATATGAATATAAATCTATTAAAAAGTTATTATTTTTTATAAAATATTAATTATTTTTATGATGATAATAATAATTATTTATATTAAAATAAAACTATAAATTAAAATTTATGATAGTTATAAGATTTTAAAAAGATGTAAATAAATGTTTTTTTTTTTAAACTTGTAACTTAAAAAAATAAATTCATAAATATAAATATAATTTAACAATTCTAAGCTAAAGGAATTGAAGAAAAATTTGCTTTTCTTCTTGGGGGATGTTGGTCAGGGATTTTTTTTTTTTTTTTTTTTGGGACCACGAATAAAAGATACATTTTTACTATTGTAAAGGTACATTATTTATTTACTGAATATACATATATTATTTGATAGTATACAAAATAATGTATCTTCCGTAATTAAAAAAAAAATATACACTTTTAAATAATGTACATTCAATACAAAAATAATGTATATTTAGTATATTAAAAATGTATATTTTATATGAAATTGAATAATGATTGTGGGTCGGACCAAGTCAAGATTTTTACTATTTAACTTGATTTGACTCAATTCATATTTAATTAGATATTAATAAATGTAATAACTTCAAACTAAGAAAAAATTGATTTTTTTTTTGTTGTTTTAATTTTGGATTGTGGCCGGGCTGAACCAACATTTTTATTATTTGGTTTATTAGTCAGCTCAACCCAATCCATATTTTAACAATTATTATACCGTGGACAACTTACATATTGTTATTTTCAGTATACTAATTACTAAATGTTTACTTTTAGTACATTGAATTTTTATTTTTGAAAATTTAATTTTAATATACTGAAAATTCATTATTTGGAATATTATCTAAAAATAATCTTCAATACATTAATAATAAATCTTCAGTATATTGGAGTAGAATCATTTTTTCGAAATTTCCAACTTTTAAAATTTAGAAAAATGTTTTCCATTTTCACGCCCAAATTTAGAGAATCATTTCCCACGTGAAAACAGAATCAATTTTTTTCTTCTAAAAAATTCTCTAATTTATCAGATATTGATCATACTTTTTTTATATATTAAAAAAATTAATTTGTATATTTTTGAAATACTCATTATTCTTTACAATCTCTTGTACAAAAAAAAAAAAAAAAAAAGACTATTAAGAGATTTTTTAAAAAAGTTAAGTATTACTTAATAAATTAATTTTAAATTAATCATAGCCCAATATTATCATATAAAAAATAATTAGCCAACTATTACATATTATGATGACACATCTGTTACCATTTCAAATGGGTGGTCACATCATCAACTGCGATGGTGGGACATTAATTCTTTGGGCTGAAAAAGATTGAGAAAGTATAGAACAAATACTAACTTGTAAAGAATAATTAGTGTTTCAAAAAATATATATAGGTTGTAGAAATTGAAAACAACAAAACCAAATCAATACGAGTTAACAATTTGTCGGGACGGGGTCCAATATAAACTGGGTATGGAAGTACAGAACGGGGTAGAAAAAAGTAGTATTATTGCTCGGTGAGCTAGCTAGGCCAAAAGAGTACGACAAAACCCGAGATATTGACCCCAAAACGACGGCCCAAAGAATACATAAATAATAAATACTATAACTCTAAGGAATGAACTATCGAACCCTGGTATATGAGCTAAAGGTTAAGTCTTCAAGCCATTGGACCAATGGGGATTAAGTGAACCAAGGGGTGATGTCTTAAGGAGGGAATAAGGGTGCCTATTTATAGTGTAGAGGGCTTTTAATCTTGGCCACACACATGGACAGATTCAGAAATTTCTTCAATCTTGCCATTCACAGTGACGGATTCAGAAATTTTTTTTCAGTAAAGGCGAAACATTAAAACAAAAGAGATAATTTTTAAAAAATAAATATATTACCTAAGAAATATAGTTGTAAATATTGTTGGATATGGGCAAAAAATAAAACACATCAAAACTTTATAAAAATATTCATAACAAAATATGAAACATAATTAATTTGATAAAATAATTTGAATAGAAAACACATTATAAATTACACATCTCATTATTAATATAAAAGAATAAAAGAATGTTATATATATATGTGTGTGTGTGTGTGTGTGTGTGTGTGTGATTATTAAATATTAAAAAAAAGCTCCATAGGTAAGGAGTCAAAAAAAAACTGTAAAACTATATTATTGATGCCAAAGGATTCAAACCCTTAACCTTTATTATATAGCCAAACTTGTAATTTGCCAACTAATCTAATTCATTTCTTGGTAACATTCAACAGTTTTTTTTATACTAATACTAAAACTGGTACTATATATATACATATATACATACAAAAGTTATATAAGGGGTGGGGGAGGGGGGACAGCTGCCCCCTTTAGCTCCGTCCCTGGTCATACATGTGTCTCCCACTACTTGGATCCTAGCGATCTTCACATGGATAAATAAAGCATCCTACCTTTTTGTACATGATATCTTGAGTAACTTTGGTGGTTGGTACTTGTGTTGTTACGCTGAAGGTTTAAAGTTTAAAAGCTTTCTATTGTTAAGGTCTACTCATGATATCTCGCAGGAGAACAAATATGGTTGGAAGGGATATTCACGCAATCAACCAATTCGACTGAGATAATGTTAATAAAATCAAACTCATCATAATTTTTTGATGTGATAATATAATTATCCACAAGATTACTTATTTTGGGGAAATGGGGCATAACAGAGATATATTATTTGTATTTTATAAGATCGAATATATATTATTTTCTATTTTTAGAACACAACGTTTATTGTCTGGTTATAAATTTTTTAATCAATTAATGACAATACATAGTCCAATGCCAACATGGACTCACATTAATATATGTTGTTTTCAGAAAAAAAATGTTGTTCTCACCTCAAAGTCCTAAATCATGACCTAAATGGTAGTTCAGCTGTCGGCATGCAATTCATTGTTCCCCCTAATACATTTTTTTTTTTTTTTAATGACACGAAAAGCTCACAATCACTATTTAAGAGTGTATACTAGACAAATCATACTTTAATACTTTATAAATTACATAAAAAATCAATAAATCACACTAAAAGAAATTATGTACGATAAATTCAACCGAGAATATTGGCAAAATCCCATAATACAATTTTAATGTTTAACCAACATGTTACTAAATTGTACTGTCATGAATCACCTGATTTAGTACGATGTTTTACTGTCTTGTATTATTATTTTTTTTAAATAAATATTATTATTAATTTGAAGATGTACGATGTTTCAACTTTATTCTTTTTTTTTTTTTGACCATGTTTCAACTTTATTCAAGTACAATATGGTTTTAAATATGGATAGTTCATATATTACTTTTTAAATGTCGTATGTTAAGCTTGTCATTCATTTGGACTGACCTAAAGTAAGTTTAAAATTAAAACCAACATGAAAATACTGGTAAGACCAATCTCTATGAACAAATTTGGTCATAATGCATCTGCGTTAATTAGCATTATAAATTCATATTTTGCTTCTCTCTAATATATTTTTCAATGACTAGAATGGTCCAAACGGCACCGTTTCTTTTAGTGAAAAGAAACGATCACGGTTACTGTAAATCAATCACGTAATAGTGATGTGCAGGGCAACACTTTTTGTTTTTTAATATATAAAAAAAAAAAACATTTGACTTCATTATATTACCTCATGTTATTCTATAGGAAATGTTTTATTCCTTGTTAAAATGTATTAAAAAAAACAGAGACAATGTTTCATCATTGGTTGTAATCCCTAATACTATATGTTATTGATGTGTAATTCCTTTTTTTTTTAGTACTACTGATTTTGTTATAATGTAAATATATGTTTATAATTACTTTCTCAATCTACTGAAACACAAAAAGTCAATAATACCATCTCAATGGGGATCGAATCCATGACCTCCCAACTCATTTGAGAAAGTCATCACTTCATGTCACTAGATCACAATGCCATTATTAATAATCCAATTAGCTACAAGTTATGAATTTTTATTATGAGTATATTAAAACTTATTGGCGTATTAGTTAGTTAAAATTTTGTTGTCCGCATACCAACCTTATAGATGGTTTATCACGTTGTTTGGCTAGAGTTTTGTTACGTACATCTTCTAAGGTATTCAACAACAAAAAAAAATCAAATATTATTGTATGGACCATGGAGTACAAAACTTTATATAATTATACACGTAATAGATTTAAGAAAAATTAATATTCGTTACAAGTTTATTTCATTATTGTTTACCGTAGAAATTTAATTTTCACAAATTCAAAATTAAAAATGTATTAAAATGGTAATATGGTTAATCCAAAATATGTGAAACACACTTTCTTTAAAATTGATTTGTTTAGATATGTGAGCACATTTTCCTTAAAACTGATCCGCTTGCTAGCCCCCACTAGAAGGTTGGTTGTGGCAATACTATAGATACGATTAATTATTTATTAAATGAAACGATAAACTTATTAACCTAACAATTTACAGGGCGTTTAGTTAGAGGGAGGGAATTACGTGAGAAAGGAATTGCAATTTTACGGGAGATGAATTTACTGGGAATAAAATGGAAATTTAAATTTCAGTGTTTGGTTTACATGAATAAAATTACTTTGAGTTTCAATTTCAATGTTTGGTATACATGAGAATTGAAAGGAAATAAGTAGTATAAAATTCAAAATGCCCATTGTCATTGTCAGTGTCAAGTTAAAAAGGGAGGGGTAATTTTGTCTCATCATTATCTTTATTTTTTTTCTTCCTAAAATCTGTGGAATTAAAATCTCAATGGGAGCATGGGATTTTAATTCAATGAAAATGAGGGAATTGCAATTCCTTCCCACCAAACTAATTAAGGAATTTAGTGGCGTTTGGAATTAGGTGGGAATATAATTTAAATTCCCTCCAACCAAACGCCCTGTTAGGGTACAGCTCCTAAGCACCTATGTATTTTTAAAAAATTTGTTTAAATTTTTTAAGACTTGATAATATAAACTATTTAATACTTTAATAGTTAATACTAAAATATTAAATATTAATCTAAAAAACATCTCAAGTTTGAACAATTTAGGTTATTTTGTTCAAAACGAAATCGTTTTGAGTGAAATAACCCATTTAAAAAAGAAGGGAAACAATAGCTAATCAGCCGATTGAGCGACCTAGTCGGTGCATAGGAGGCCTAGTCGGCACTTAGGAGGTCGCCTAATCGGCTAGCTGCTTAGACCACCGATTATGGTGACACGCTAGGCGACCGGCCAACGCTTAGTACGGTGCATAAGCTCCCATTAATTGGTGCCTAGGCCGAAATTTTGTGACACTAGGTAGTTTTAACAGCTAATGCAACTACAATTATATTCCGTGACTGTGGGTTTCTCTTATCATCTTGAAAAAAAATGAATTTAAAATTCTTACTTTTTTGTCTTTCTTTATTTTGACCGGGCCCCCACTTCTTCTACTCCTTCTATATATACCCATTCTTACCCTCCTCTCTTTCTTCATCCCATTATATTTCTCCTCTTTCTCTCTACTCCTCCCGTGAAAAGCTCTCTTTCTTTACAACCATGGCGGACAATACCCAAACACAACCTAAGCGCCAACGAGGGGAAGCCATTGAAGAAGAAGAGGAAGCTTCTAAGCGCCATAAATACTCGTATAATCATCTCATGTCCATTCTCGAGGAGGAGGAAGAAGAAGATGACGACAATAAGCCAGTTCAAGATTTGTCCGCCATTCTCACCGCCCTCCAGCAGGAACTCTGCTCTCCGGCGACGGCCGGAGAAGCTGAGCCGCCGCCTGCTGGCCTGACTACTGCGAGCTCCAAGGAGGATGAAAATGGCGACAGATTTAGCGTCATAAGACACCTTCTTGAGGCGTCTGATGACGAGCTTGGCATTCCCGCCGGCAGTGGGATGGACGGCGGCGGGGGGAATGGAACGACCGACGGCGGCGGCGGCGCGGATTTGCCGGCGTTCTCTTTGAGTGATGGGTTGTGGGAGCTTGAAGATGAATCCGCTAACTACTATTCTTTGCTACACTCTCAACTTTTCATGTAGTTTTTTATATGGGTTAGGTGTAGGGTGGAAAAAAAAAATGTTTGTGGAGGAAAGTATAAAAAGAGAAAGATGGAGGGATGAAAAGGAAAAATTGGAAGATGATTTTAGATGTTCTAATTTAACCACATTATCTATTATATATTGCCAAAAGACACTTTTCATCAATACTCTTTAAGAGATGAACATGTTGGGACTATATATATATGTTCATATGAGAACCTATATTAACATGTGAACTTAAGAATCAATCCGAGCCATTTATTTATATTAGTGGACGGTGCATGTTATCTATAACACGATGCATGCACGTTGTGCACCTCGTCCTGGGTTGACTTTTTTCATACATCATGTTCTAGGACGTTGGATAATTCAACAGCAAGGGTATGCACAAGTTCACACGGTAAGTTTTCATCTGAACATAAACATATACTCCGTATACTTCACACACACACACACTTCATAAATATTATGAACTTTTAAAGTATATAATATTTATAACATTGACATGTATTTTTTTTTTTCATATTTTCTAACAATTGATTATTGTAGATGGACGGATCAAATTATTTTTCATATATATATATATATATATATATATATATATATATATATATATATATATAGAGGGGATGTCTCCTGTGAGAATCAAACTCCATGTGAGAATTGTGAACTAATCAAGACCATAGATTTTAAATGATTAATGGTCAAATTTGAAAAGAAAAATACAATTGTTTCACGTTAATTGAGGAGCACCGGACGTGCACAACTAAATACTCTAATATGGGCAAATTAGTAAATGATGCGTCCAATAACCAACCCACACAAGGAAACCCCATGCAACTTGCCATCATAGAAACTCAAACCTACAATAAACCACTACAAACACTCACACTCGATCAAAGTTCTGATCAAATACAGTATCGCCAGAAAATCATATAGACACGGGCAAACAAATGAAATCGAAATGCGTTGCACAACCCACAACAACGGATTGCACAACTAACACAACTGAATGCACAATCGTACCACCCAGAATGCACGCTCAAATACAAGGGCTTCAATACCTAAAAACGAATGGCCTGTATCAAACCGTAACTGTAGGAGACACCTTTAAGCTTGTACCATACTCAAACTAATATTCATTCGGACCGGGCCGGCCCAATTAAGGGAGAAAGTGCTAGTTCTATTGGGTTTTCCATACGAGAGGGGGTTCAAATTCTGAACCCCTTTCAAGGAATGAGAGTGCACGACCACTCATGTCAACCAAACTCGTTTGAAATGATTCTCATTTGATCCTATATATATAAGTACAAAATTAAAGAAACTATTATTTGTAAATAATTACTCCGTATTGTTTAATCTTGTCTTTGTTTTAATTTGGAAAATGAATTTTTTTTTTTACTTTTTAATTTGGTTTTATTAATTGAAGCATGTGTTTCACCTCAACTAAACGCCTAAGTTGATAGTTGGATTGCACATTAATGATTTACCAAATTGAAGCATGTGCTCCATCTCAACTAAAAAGCTAAGCTTATAGTTGGATTGCATGCACATTAATAGTTATATGCTCAACATTATTTGTAATAGGCATAACATCATATATTGAATTAACTAAAAGTATAATAGAATTGTTTAAATATTATATTGCCAAGGACATTGTATTTCGATCAGTGTTATATATAGGGTTAAAAATTTTCATAAGAGATTTCAAAATCAATATATTTGATAATATTTCTTTCAAAGTATAGTTAATATATTTGAAATAAGTTGTATAAGATTATACTTGATATTATATATTTGTGATGATTTTTTGCTTCAAACTCAACATGAACCGAGTAAATGTAATAGTAAGGCAAGAATGTAAATAAATGACAGTGACAACTCTTACATGGAAACATAATTAGTGAAAATTATAGACCATATTCCACTAAGTTAAGAGTTAAGACACGCAACTCCACTATTTTTCTTTTGTATATGTACATGTAATTTGGTGTAATGGCTCTAAAACCATGAAGTTTTATAATACTCAAGTAAATTATGCGTGAGTAGTCACCAAGGACTTTGTGGTCTATTGGTATTTAGTTGCTCCTTTATGTACGAAGTTTAGGGTTTGAGCCTTAGTTTAGACTTAGATTGTATATTTGGATATTGCCGTTCCTTTGAAATAAAAAATAAAAAATAAAATTTATGCACGTTTAGAATTAACAGTGATTAAAAAAACGCACAGTGACAATTTGGTCTTTTTGCTAGTCAAATTTAAGGTGCGTGATTTTTGTGCTTAAGGTGAGTGGTTTTTGTACTGTGTGACTTAATTAACAGTGATTAAAAAAACGCGCGGTGACAATTTGATCTTTTTTCATCTAGGTCAAATTTAAGGTGCGTGATTTTTGTGCTTAAGGTGAGTGGTTTTTGTACTGTGTGGCTTATGGTGCGTCAGGTGTGGAAAACTTAAGTGCGTCGATCTAAAGCTTTAGGTGCGTGGTTTGTGTACTTAAGGTGTGTCAGTTGTGGAAACTTAAGATGTGTCTGCCTAAAGCTTTAGGTGCGTGGTTTTCCTTAAGGTGCGCGATTTGTATGCTTAACGTGCGCCATTTTAAAACTTTAGATGTGTGGTTTGTCTTCTTAAAGTGCTTTGTTTGTGTGCTTAAGGTGTGTGTGGTTTGTGTATTTAAAGTGCGCCATTTTAAAACTTTAGGTACGTGGTTTGTGTTCTTAAGGTGCTTTGTTTGTGTGCTTAAGGTGCGTGATTTGTGTATTTAAAGTGCGTCATTTTAATGCTTAAGGTGCGTCTTTTTGTGTTAACCGCACAACCGCACGAAAAACTATATTTGCACCTGATCTCTCTCTCTCTCTCTCTCTCTCTCTCTCTCTCTCTATATATATATATATATATATATATATATATATATATATATATATATATATGTCATATGTGTAGAGAGAGAGAGAGAGAAAGGATCATATGAGAATTAGTAGTCCCGTGAAATGTTCAAATTAATTTCATCCGTCCATTTAAGATAATCAAGAACTGAAAATTAAGAAAAATTGTTGTGGCATTTATGTAATTATGACAGTACATTTGAAAATATTTGATAATGCATTCACTTATATCTGATCGTGCATTCAAGATTTATAATAGTGTATTGGTGTATGCACACTATTAATTATTTGTAAATGCACTAAGTAAATTGTGAATATTTGAATCTGGCCCGCATGGGTAGCTCAAACTGGTCATAGAGGTGAAACTTTGAAATAATGACCAGGGATCGAGTCTCACCGGGGACTCCTTGTGCGCAGTGAGCACCGGTCTAGCCTCTATGGTTCATGTTCGATTGAGTCACCATGATTTACATCCTCCCAAATGCTTTGTTGAGCCGGGGTGTGGGGGGTGCTTAGGGCTTGGAATAGTGAATATTTGAATCCGGGTCCACAAAATCATTTTCGTATAGAAATTAAAGTTTGTCGGGCGAATAGAATTACAGAGGATGGATACAATTTGGAAAAGGTATCATTATGGGTCACTTCACGGTGGCGCGTGGTCCCCGGCGACGTAGGAAAGTGTTGTCCGCCGCATTCTATTGCCCCGTCGACGTTGTGCCACCTCTTACACTCCCAGTCCTTGTCTATCATGAGTTGTTAATTAAATTATTATATTTTTTGGCTAAACTTAAAAATAATAATCACTACATAAAATTAGTAAAATATCTACAAATTTAACTATGAATTAAATATTTATAGAATTTAATGATTTACTCACAAAAATCCATTGGTAACTTAAATATATAGTTATAAATTTTAGATAGTGATTATTAACAAATTTTTAGCAAATAAATTTAATTTTCCTTTAGAATTTGTATATTCTAAAATTAGTTATGAAAAAGTTTAGATGAACAGTTTTAATTAAAAAATTTTAAAATTACTTGTATTATTTTACACGCGCGCGCACAAAAAAGAAAAAAAAGAAAAAAAAAAGAGAGCATTATCTATTTATTTGCATTATCTAATTTATTTATTTATTTATATTAGAAACATGATAAGATGATGTGACTTTGAACTCTGTGAACTAATTTGAGTTAAAGTTGATAGTGCCAACCAATAAAGTGTGCAAAAAAAAAAAAAAGAATATTTCCATTCAAATATATTCACACACACAAAAGTTGATGCTTCAACAACTAGGAGATGTATATATAGTAACACTATACTAGCTTAAATAGACAAGACAAGTTTGTATACAACTGAATAAATTTAGTTTCTAGATTCTTAGTGAAGCGACATATTTAGTATCCATTTAGTATATGGTGCTAAGATTAAGAAAATTATAGGTAGTGATCTAATCAACTATCTGCTTTGCTAATAAGAATCTAAAAACTAAATTTATAGTGCAAATAATTGAGAGATTAAATTTATGGAAACTTTTATGGTGTTGAACGGTCTCGATTCTTTGTTGTACCTAGTATAACCACACAAGGATTGTTGTACCTAGTACAACCATGCAGGCGCATGCATAGTGGGTGTACTGGACACCTGAGTTGATAATCCCAATTCGATACAATCCGTTACACTTGTATATTTGTACCAAATATAACACGACATTGGTGTGGGTATGGTATGGTTTCATGTTGTACTTGATACAACCACATAGGTGTAGCACTTGAGTACGGTATTATAATATTTTTTTTTATCGAAGGGAAGGAGAGACCCCGAAAACACTCATTAGCTTACGAATAGCCGCCCCTTAAAACCCTACTAGGTTTGAGGCATTCCCATATATATTGTCATCATTAAAGATAATTTGAAGCTTTCTCTGAGAGTCTGAGATTGCTCGATCGACCACTTCAGGTCTCTCTTATGCCGTCGTGCGTTAAAATTAAACTTCCTTGGCAAGGAACTTGGCAATGTAATATTGACACCAATACAACCCGTTACACTTGCATGTTTGTACTAAGTATAATTTGGGAACAATGTTTATACTAAGAATAAGACAACACTCATACTGGCCAACACTTTAAAACTTTTCTTAAATTTATATTACGGTCACAAATCATCGATTAAAAGTAGTGATTTCTCCTTTCAAATTTTATGATTGCATGAAAGTGAAAGGTGTGGTGGAGCAAGAGTTTGGCTTTCTTTTTCAAGGGAATTGAATAGAGGATGGGATAATATGAATGGACAACATTATTGTTCTAAGCTGCAATAAATATGCCTCAATAATGTTGTGTACAAGATAAGAGACGTTTCATAACAAGCCATATGGCAATTCCAAGTCATGACCAAAAGGACAACTTTGTTGAGACAAACCACACGAATATTGCATTTTGTGATGTGTAATCTTATCATGCACAATATATATATATATATATATATATATATATATATGCAATTTAACACTAAAAAAAAGTGACACTAAGTGCGTAAAATATTGCATTGAATTGAAACTCTCAAAGACGAGCGGGGAGTTATTATGCTCCAAAAATTTTCAAAAAAAAAACTCTTTACAACGTTTCAAAATGATTTATGTATATAATTAAACTCATATCTTTAGAAGGATATATATATATATATATATATATATATATTAGGGATCTAATTGAAAAATGCTTAATTTCAAGAGTCTAATTGAGGGAAAAGAAATCATTTCCTAAAAGAAAACTTGTCTCTAATTAAGTTGTTGGTTCATGTTTCTTGTGTGTATGTACTACATAGTTTAATTTGATATATAGCGTTAATTATTTTTTAAAATAAAAATAATAAAACTCTAATCAATTAAACTATAAATATAGCAATACAAATCATTCAAAACAAAAGAAACAGAAGTGACATACCACTCCTTAAAATCTAACAAAAAACAACTACCCTAATAAAAATATGAACACGCGATTCGCTGATCACTTAACAAAATTTAAAAAAAAAAAAAAAAAATAACACACACTCTTGATTCTTACCAACTCAACCAATCCCACTTGGCTACCTTAATGGTGTTGATTTTACTCAAGGATAATAGAGTTAGGCCAAGGGTTTGTATTGGGGTTTTGTCATTGCTATTTTTAGTTAAAACTTATAGGGGGAAAAGTCAAGAAAGAATAGCATAAGGTATGAGTCAGAAAATCAATACTAAAATCCCAAAATTAAGTAAATTCTTTTTCAATTAGGCAATTTGATATTGACATTTAGGAACTTTATAGCCACCCACAAAGATATATACAAATTTTGAACCAACCAAAAATGCGACGATTGAGAAGTGTGACGAACCTTGGAACCCAAAGGGGACGTGCCCCACCCGCAACTGTACGGATTTTGCTTTTCTAGGGTTTCAAGGCTATATGTATTCCAGGTTTTATAATGATATACGAGACCATATTATATGTTGAAATTAAATAATGAAGGAGACAATTTATGCCAAATTAGTTTTTTTTTTAGACAGTTAATTTATTAATTATAAGATTTTAAATCCAACTCTTTGTGAAGTTGTCTATTGACGTTCTTGATTTGAGTTGGTTAGTTATAAGCAATCTAAACTGACTTTTTTTTTCTTGTGGTTATTTGCAGGTTATGGTTGTGGGTTTAGTTTTCCCATAAATCAAAATTAAATAATGACAAATTATATATGACTCTCATGGAATAAAATTTATGTCATATATCGTGATTTTATTGTAGAAGAGAAAGATGCGCTTTTATGATTGAATCAGAACATGCTACGTAAGTATGAGTAAAAAATAAAGTAGAAACTAGGAGTACGTGTAATATTACTTATTAAATAATAAGGATGTTTGAATTACTCGTTTAGCATGAATAAAGAATTAATATATTTATTTAATGTTTTTCTTTGGTCCGATGAAAGGTTTTTTCATCTAGACAATTAAAACTCAACCATATATATATACTAAGAATAATCGTGTTCGTGCAATATAAAACCTCAAGAAAAATTAGGTAATAAGAGACCTATGTCATCTCATTCATACATACTCTCATAGACTCACAGAGTCACATGTTATATTCGTTTAATGGTATATGTCAATTTTATCTTCTAGAAAAAAAAAAGTGCACATTTTATCACTGAATTATTTCTCATTCTCAAATGTGATTTGCCAATTTTTCTCTAGTTGTCAAATTGGCCTCTCCACCTAACGAAATGAATCAACACCATTTGAGTTAGCTAAATAACAAATGTATATGACAATACAATTTTCTTACATACATACATACATACATACATACATACATATATATATATATATATATATATATATATATATATATATATAACTGTCACATTTAGATTCTCTTGTCACAAGTCACAACATTGTCACAAAATACAATTCAAAAGAGAGAATACAACCATGAAAGTAGCTAGAATGTTACATCCATGGAAGAAAGAGAAAATCAAGAAAGGAAGAAAGAAAGAGTGGTATATAAAAAGATAGTAATGGGCATTTTTGTCTCGTCTTGAGACACCATTTCATCCACCTTGGAAAAGAATATTCCGTAATAAAATTGTCAATTTGATACCTAACTTTTTTGAATTTCATTTGCCCAATCTTTAATTTTTTTTTTTTGAACGACATTTGCCCAATCTTTAATTTATTTGCAGAATAATAATTTTTTTTTTTCACTACTCAAAGATGTCCGTACATGGATAAACCCAAAGATCATGTGCAATAGGTTCGATTATAAAGGTATTGACAAAAATCAAACTCGACGTTCTAGTATGAGAATTATATTCTACTCACTCAGTCACACTTTTCGGAACAGAATAATATTTTTAGGTTGTATAAAAGATTTTTGTTTTTTTTAAGAAATATGCAAAATTCGATGGGGAAAAAGAATACAAGAAATTCACACGGAGCATCTAATGCCCCCACTATATTTCGTATTTTTCACCTTCTTACTAGATATTCTATATTCAGGATAAGATCTAGAAATCAAATATTTTTGTAGGTTATAGCATACAATTATAGACTTATGGTATATGTCATGACCACAAACTGCCAAACTCCTAATAAATAAATAAATAAATCATTGATAAATTACAAATTTCAATTAGAGAAAATGACAATTTTGGTCCGTATTTTATCGGTTAACTATTTTGGTTGACAGAGTTAACAATCCACACAAAACCAAAAGAGATTACTCTATTCAAACAAGCAGTCAGAAGTCATTCAAAGATATTGCTACAACACAAGATTTAGAAAGAAAAAAAGAAAAATGCATCTTGAAAATATCTTGCAAAATGAACCTTAACTATATCCCTCAAGAGAAACTGCAAAATTACAGTCAAAGTTTTTCCAGTACAGGCATAGAAGCCTAGACAGAAATTGCGCTCACTCTTCATCTTCTTCGTCTCCATCACCACCCGCTGCCTTCTTAGCTGCAGCCTTCTGGTTCTTTCGCTTCACTCTGCCAGGGCGACCACCGCCAAATGGACTGGTGAGCGAGAAATCGATGTGCTTCTGGGAGTCCAGTCTGACCATGAAGGATGGAACATTCACCACCTGTCTTCCAACCCTGAAGGGCCAAAAACATATATAAAATGTTCAGCAGGTATCTTATAACATTGCCGCCAAGAACGCAATCACTGAGATGAATAATATCCAAAACAAAGAACAAAGATGCAATTTAACAAATACCAATCCTAGATAAGATTGGCTGGACATAATAAATCCTCCCAGTGTCTTACAATCATAAGTAGACCTGGTCTTATCCCATGTGTAAGAAATTCAATATTTAAAATGATCAAATTGTGAAATAGCCTTTGTAGGTAAAATAATGAAGTTAAATCATATAAGATTCATAACGCAACTCTTCGAATCTGTATAACAAGAACAAATGGTTTTAATGATAGTGAATTTTTCCTTTGTTCTTGGAGTATCATCAAATGTGAATTTTTCCGTTTCATTAAAATACAAATAAAATTGCCCATGCAGAAAACAAGATCAAATAGAAAGTCATTTATACCTGATGTGCCTTTGCCTAATGAGAACTCTTGCATGATGGATAGACTTTGCCATACCAGCCTTGAATACTAGAGTTTGGAGACGGCGCTCAAGGAAATTTTCCACAGTGAGAGCAAGGACATAATCGAGCTTGTTCTGGCTCTCGTCCAGCAACCCATACCTGTTCATTCTCCTAAGGAGGGCATCACCCTCAAAAATACGGCGTGGATCCTTCTCATCAAGAGTCAGAAGCATTCTTGCATTATTCCTGATACGGCTCAAAGCATACTGAACTCTCCAAAGCTCCCTCTTGCACCTAAGCCCATATTCACCAACAAGCTTCAGCTCAGCATCCAAACGCTCCTTCTCATATGGACGTCGAGGCTTTTTGAATGTTTTCCCATCTATAATCCATATCATACAAATAATAATATTAATATAGTTTACAATCAAACTACATCAACATTGTTAAATTTCTACTAACTGATTATCATATGAAAACACATCCATAATATTGATAGGGCAAATATTTATCTACATCTAGAAGCCCTTTGATCTTAAGTTTGGACGTGTGAGTACTGTTTAGGTTTATTTTCAAGTGATTTTACTCCCTTTTTTAGTTTTTTTTTGTAGGAAAGAACTAACTAGCAACGGAAAATTGCATTTTCAGTCTTAGTAGTGCACGACTAATCAATTTGTTCATTGGTTGTCAATTTCTGTAATTATAATCCTGAATTGTTTCATGATATTGCTTAATTTACATTCATAAAACTCAAAATTTTATTACTTGTTAAAAACCATAGAATTAGCTCATCTAGGTAATGACTTTGCTAGCAGTGATTGTTGCATTGACACTAAATCCACACACGATATATTGTTTGATTAAACTAGTAAATTTTCCAGGATTTCACCTATTAACTACCTGAAAACAAATGGATTGCAGTACAATGTTGCAATTAATGTTCAGCATTTGGCAGGTACTGAGCTTAAAACAGATCATCAACACCTTTCAAAAGCATTCACACAAGCAATACATTTCTTCTGGTTACTTTAGACTTTCATGAACACGAAAAGTAAACTTGCAGAATGAACTTATGCTGGCTTAGATAATAGTCAAATGCACATAAATTCATGCTATAAACACTTACAGACGCCCAATTTTAGCATGCGAGTGGTTCAAAACATCAAAAACTTAAGGAATGTGATCTGAAAATCCAATATTTGCAGCGGAACATAAAATCATTTAAAACTACTGAGCCAAGTACAACGATATAGATAGAGATTTAAGTGTGCATATAGAAAGAAAGAGAGTTCGCAGAGCGAAGAAACTCACAGTTGCGGTAAAAGGAGACGTGCACCATGTTCACCTGCCGCGATCTGCAGAAATGCAGAGAACAATTGCTGCTGGGAAGGCTAGGGTTTCAGCTGAAGAACGGAGTTTCAGCGTCCTTTAAATACTTGCTTTTTTAAGCCCAAATTTAACAGGCTTGATTTAGGCCTAGTGTTTTGTATTTATTGGGCCGAACTTTGAGCTGTCCTTTTAGAGCATGAAAGGTCGAGCCCAATTTCCCGCAATCATTACACTATAGACCATAGTTCATATTGTAAGATATACCACTATCATATATGTTCATTTTTAGTATGTTGGATGTTTATTTTTAGTGTATTACAAATTTATTTTTAGTGTACTACCTAATAATGAATATATAATGCATTAAAATAAATATTCAACATACTAAAAATGAACATTTCTTTACAATAAGCCCGTAATGTTACTAAATGTGAACTCTGAGTAAACACGCCTTGTGATTCTATAGGACTACAAGAAAGTAAACCAGTCAGGTTGTCCATAACTAACTAATTCAAACGAACAAGACCAATAAACCTGGACATGGCTAAGGCTTATGATCGTACGGAGTGGTCATTTCTACGTAGGATGCTTGTATCTCTGGGTTTGGATGATAGGTGGGTGGAATTAATGATGCATTGTGTGACTACTGTTTCTTATAGTTTCCTGGTTATGGCTCACGTACCAGATTTGTGATTCCTACTCGGGGGTTACGGCAGGGAAATCCTTTATCCCCTTACCTATTTATCCTCTGTGCAGAGGGGCTATCGTTACTATTGCAGCAAGCCCAGAGCAATGGTCTCATTCATGGTTGTAGAGTGGCTAGAGGCGCCCCCTATTTCTCACTTATTTTTCGCTGAATCTGCTTTTCTTTAAGGCTAATGTTCAAGAAGCTTTGGAGGTCAATCGATGTTTATCTGTGTATGAGAGCTTGTCTGGATAGGGGGTGAATTATCACAAATCCAGTATTTGTTTCAGCAAGAACACTCGAGAGGTGGATAGGGAGGATGTGGCGCAGGTTTTGGGGGTGGCTATGGCTCCTAACTTTGGAAGGTATTTGGTTCTCCCTTCCTTTTTGGGAAGAAATAAGAGGGCTGTTTTTGCCTATATTGAGGATAAAATTAGATAGAGGATTGGTTCGTGGAACAAGAAGCTCCTATTGCAGGCAAGTAAGAAAATCCTGTTGAAAAGCGTACTATGTCTAGATTTTCAATGAGTGTTTTCTTGTTGTGTCTGTTTGCACATCTATTGAGCGTACTATGAATCGTTATTGGTGGGGCACAGGAAATGATTGTGGTATACATTGGAAGGCTTGGGATAGGCTATGTGTGCCTAAGAAGTTTAGGGGGCTGGGTTTTAAGGAGCTTCGTGCGTTTAATCTGGCTATGCTAGGGAAATAAGCTTGGCATTTCCTTACCAAACCTGACTCGTTGGTGGCACGTGTATATAAAGCTAGATATTTTCCTAAATGATCATTCTTTGAAGCATGTTTAGGAAATAACCCAGTTTTTGTTGGCGTAGCATTATGGCTACTCATGGGCTAATCTATAGCGGAGTTAGGTGCAGAATTGAGAATGAAAATTCGACACTTATTTGGGGGCATCCTTGGCTCCAGGATGACAACGACCCTTTGGTACAGACAGGGATGCCTCCACAACTAGATGGCTCTTCTGTGGTTGGTTTGATCGATCAGGATACGAGTTCATGGGATTATTCTATCATGACTGACATTTTTGTGCCTGAAAATGTTGCTCGAATTTTGAAAATTCCTATTTCACCGGAATATGAGGATTCTTGGTACTGGCATGGTGATCCCAAAGGTTGCTATTCGGTCAAAAGTGGCTACAAAACCATTGTTGGAAATTTTGTTGATAGCATGGGTTCTTTTGATAGATGGTCTTCGTTGTGAAGCCTAAAAATTCCCCCAAAATGGAAGACCTTTCTATGGAGAACTTTGAGTGATATCCTCCCCACCACTAAGAACTTGCTTTTAATGAGAGTGGAGGTTGATCATGTGTGTGCCATGTGTGGGATCGATCATGAGGACACCTTGCATGCCTTGGTGTCGTGCGGTTTTGCTAGCTTCGTTTGGAAAGAATCCAATCTTCCAATCGCCAATATCATAACAAATGTTTTCCACACTTGGTTTAGAGTAATCTTGAATACTCTACTCTCTAACCAAATGATTTTCGCAGCTGCTATTTTGTACAACATTTGGAGAGCCCGCAATGGGGCCGTGTGGGAGTTCTGTCTACCGAGGCCGAGGAAATTGATTATGGCATCCGCCGCTGCTGTGCAGTCTTGGTCCAGTGCCCAGTCGAACACAACCTCTCTGCCTTCCGCGGACCAGCCGGCTGCTACCATGCGATGCTGTTCGTTTGGCGCTGGCTATCACCTGACCACGAACTGTGCCACAACAGGTGGTGTACTCCTCGACAGCGATGGTACTTTCGTTGCGACCTTCAACAGCCGGTTGCCACATTGCTTCTCCCCTTTGATGGCCGAGGCTCTAGCATGCAAGGAGGCGGTTATCCTGGCTAAGGGGTTGTGGAGAACACGTGTTGGAGCTCCGCACAAATTTTTCCACTCTTCAGCATTATTTATCTGCACCCACAGGCTCCGATCCATCCATTCCTACACTGGCTTCGCAATTGATGAGTGCAGATCCGTTGTTACATCTTTTGCACATTGCTCAATTAAGTTTGTTCCTAGATCAGCTAATTTAATAGCTCATACACTTGCTTCTTTAGCATTTGCTCAGTCTACTGCATTGTATTGGGATTTTATTCTACCTGACGCTATTGTTGGTTATCTTTAATATATGTCGTTGATGGTTGCTTTTAAAAAAATAATAAAATAAAATAAAAACAAGACCAATAAACAAACTCACATAGAAATTTGTGTTGGAAATAATGAACCAAAGGTCGATTTAATATCCCAAAATAATATTTATATATACACACGAAAATATATAAAATAGTATTAGATATATATATATAACGGACCCAGTACCTTTTTCCTTAAAACCTTATTTGCGACCACGAGTTAACAGATACCGAAAGTTGAACACGAGCTTAGGCTTAAATCAAGCCCCATTCAATAAGCCTTTAAAAGACTCTTGTATAAATAGTGGGGCAATTCCTCTTCCCAAACCAATGTGGGACAAAAGCTCACTTTTTCCCTTCATTTTTCCAACTCAATGGGTCTACTTCAATATCTCATTCACCCATTATCCATTTTGAGCGTACAATATATCAATCTCTTCGTCTCACTACGAAGAACCCGAATCCACTTGACCCGTCCAAATTGAAAGTGAACTCCACTGATAATTGTACCACAAAATAGCCACTTAAAATGCTTTTTTAATGCTATTTTTTCAACAATTTGAACTTAGAACTTGATAGTGTATATTCTTTTATTCTCCATAGAAAAGAATATACACTATCAAGTTCTAAGTTCTAAAGCGTATATTCTTAAATGCAGAAGTGATGCATTCAAGTTTTCTCCTTCCCCATGCAAGAGTGATGCATGAGGTATTTATAAGCGCTAATAAGACAATTGTCGGTATCTCGACATAGCTTACACATGTTCCCTTTGAATTGGTCACTCAGGTCGGCAGTGTTAAGGGCATTCTCAATAGTGGGAATTTTGGTGTGATATTTTAAGAGTTTTTGTAGGTGTGATTAGGAAAGAAAAAATGAGAGAAGGATGTTTTAAAAAACCAAAAAAAAAAAACAAAAAAAAAAAAACAAAAGGCACAATATCAGTAAAAGAAAAAAGAAAAAAATAATAAAAAGAACCTGAAAAGCACCCGACTGGGCGCGAATGTGCAGCCCACTCTCCCCTTCTCTTCTTGCTTCTTTTCTTTGTGGGACCCACACAAGGGGACAAAATCCCCAACCTCCTGCAACCAGCTCTCCCCTCTCTCTCCTCTCTCCTCCACTTCACACCTTTTTCCCTCAAAACCTGTGCACAACCCCCTTAATGGGGATGCCCTAAGTTTGTGGACTATTCTGACATCATGACGGGGTGGGTGATTGGACATAAAGTCCATGTGATATGACCTTGGGTTGTCTTTTACGCCATGGGGTCGGGAAAGTGCAACGGGTCATTCATGGCTCCGTGTCCTTTTTTTTTTTTTTTTTTTTTTAACAGCTTGTTTAGCTCGTAAACCCAACTAGAAATATGTTAATATTTTTTTCAATGTAAAAATGTTTTTTTTTAACCTTCTTGGGATAAGGGTTGGAAGTTAAATCCGACCCACGAGGCACCTTGGTTTGTCCCGCCAACAGTAGCCTCTCCTCCGATGTCTATAGTATCAGTCAGACCTCTCTCGTTCCCCAGGTGGGGAACCAACCCTTGCGAACCGAACGGACCCTCGCCTTGCCTGCTAATGCGTTCCTGTAGGTCTTAGGAATGTTTGTTTTGTGACTCAAGTAGTTAGGTGCATATCGAATTTGTTTGTGTAAAGGGAACATGGGTAAAACGATTAGAAACTAGGAACGATTGCTTTTCATAGCATTCCCCACAAACGGCGCCAATAATAGTTTTGTCAAGACTGGGTCCATCATAAATCGAGTATGAAAGTACAGAATGGATGATATGAAAATAGTAATATTATTGTTCGGGGCACTAGGCCCAAAAGAGTATATATATATACCCGAGATACCGACTCAAAATGACTGCCCAAGATATATGAGCAAAAGGTTAGTACCTCAAGCCAGGGAGATTGAGTGAACAAATGGATCATTTCTAAGGGAAGAGAATGGTACCTTATATATTGTTGAAGGCCTTCCGGATAGTTGACAAATGTACGACATCGCGTAGTCTTCAATCTTGATCATACACGTACGTGTTTTCCTTCGACTTCTGGCGCATTCTCTATGCGTAAATAGAGCTTCCCACCCTCTAATATATAAGAGTCTGAATAATTTGGATGGTTGGTGCTTTTCTTATTAAGTGAAATGTGAGTTTGATATCCCCTTTCAGCAATTTTGTTCCATGCTTCATTTTTCCTTTAGCCTAACAGATTTTCATTATTTTTTGGACCAAGACTCTCAATCCCATGCATGTCATCATCACTTTCTATTTTATTAAAAAGCTTTCAAATGTTTATTTACGCATTCTAAGAGCATCTACATTAGTTGGGGAGATTTGGGAGATAATATAAGAGTGATTAGGAAAGAGAATGTGGGAGGGGAGAGAAAAAAAAATAACAAAACAAAAATTGAAAAAAATAATAATAAAAACCTGCCGCGTCAGGCGCGCTACACGGGCGCGTGCATTGCACATGCTCGTGTAGACATTGGTTGTGCGCACAGCCAGTGTTGTTTTTTATTTTTCTTTTTTCTTTTTTCTGACATTATCCTTGAATTTGCAGAGCAAATATTTTCACAAATAACCCCACCCTACATTTGTTATTATTCCCACCCAAAATAATTCATCTGACAATATCTCTATAATATCCACTGATGTGGATGCTCTAAGTCGAATTATGCTATCAATTCTTTGCAAAAATAAGATAAACCATTGGTTTCATAAACACATACACCACGACAAACGTTTTCATGATACATCGTCAATGCCTAGGAATCAAAGGTATGCAAGACATATTAAACCTAAAAATCACCTAATATAACACGATCGACACAATAATAACGTACGACACTTTCCAACATCATATCATAGTAAAAATAAACAATCTTAAACTCGATCGATCAATACCGATAATCATCATCAAATATCATGTAGTTACTTCTCCTAGCTCTTGATTCTCTGTCCGCCTTAGCTATGAGCCTTTCAAACGCCTCAGGTCCGTTCTGTTCAATATATTTCTCGGCCGCCGTCAACACATCGTCCGGCTTGCTAAAAACATTATCCTTCTTCTTCAGTGGAACATACCAGATTTTAACCTGCGGGTTTCTGTAGAAAGGTCTGATGAAATTCTCGTACACATATGCTGCTCCGTTGAACTGAGGCAGAACCAACCAGCATATTGCACCCAACTTTGCATAGGACCAGATAGGAAACCTAAACAATTAATAAAAACATCATATCATTCATAAAATGAATATCAATCCACTTGCAAGACATGAAAAAGGCAATTTATATGTTGGGAGTAACATCAATCAAGTTGGTCAGACTATTAATTTAATAACAATAACAATAAGGTTTTAAGTTTGACTTCGTGTGATAATGGCTTATCGATCTTCTTAATTTGAGTCGGTTAGCTATGGATCGGATAAGATTTTAAGTTATATTTCTTGTAGGAGCAACTTATTGGTCATCTTGATTTGAGTCGGTCAGCTATAAACACTTAAGCTAGTTTACCTCCTTGTAGTCTTTTATTAGTCAATGTAACAATGCCAAATTTACCCAGTGCACAACCTTAAATAGTGCATGGCTGCGAATTTCCCTCATCACCCACAAAATAGACAATTTATGTCCAAACTAACCGTCCATGCAACTTGGTTGGGCTTTTCACAACATGCTTGTTATCGGCAAATTATTGTGTGGGTCATGGTCCATACAATGTTATGTGGACCATAACGAAAAGTACATTATTTTTGTACTGAATGTACATTATACAAATAATGTACACTCAAAACAAAAAAAAAAAATGTACATCCCCTGAATACAATGTACATTATTTTTGTATTGAGTGTATATTATTTTTGTAGACAAAATATGGTCCTCACAACTTGTGTGGACCATGGTCCACACAATAATGATTGCTTTTTATCTCTTTGATTCACAGAAAAACTCACCGCTAGCTTATTGCTCAAATGTGCGTTTTGGGTGAAGTCTACTTTCTAATATAACCCACAAATAACTAGAAGAAAGTACACAAACCTAAATTGTCCAGACTGACTTAAACTAAAAATACCAAGAACCCCTACTAATTTACCCTATCATCATATCATACATTATTTAGTCGAAAAGTGTAAGTATATATACATGTATGTAAGAGAATAGAAGTGAAATGATGATCACCATTCAAGGGCCTTCCAAAACGTAAGCTCAAAGAGTGTAATCAAGGAATACAGAACCCAATATGTCAGCCATTGCCGATCATCTGCTCGAGACTTTGTCTCTATCGCCCCAATAGACGCATACCTGCTCACACACATACATACATCCAACCAAAATCTCAGTATCATCAAACGTTAAACATACATCTTACCACTCAAAGAATTGAATCACTCCCAGAATTAACTTACAGTGGATAAGCAAGAGACACCAGAGGCCTGAAAACACACCACAAACACCACACATTATTATTCCATCTTTCATGCAAAAATTAAACCCCAGACAAAGTGCAAGTAAACTACAAACAACGTAGCCTTCTAGTACATGGTAACCCATTCGAATCAAACGAAAAAGAAAGGGGAAAAAAATGGTGGGAGCTGAGAGATGGGCATCGTATAGTACGTACAGTGCAAGAACATCAATGTTCTTGGCAAGCACAGCAAGAACATTGTTGTCAGATGAACCCCCCATGGATTTCCTCTGTTAAGTTGTTTCTGCGGTAGTTTTGCGTTGTAATGGTGATAGATATGATGCTGCTTTAATTTTAATTTTTCTAGAAAGAAGGAAATTAAAGGGAAAGAAACTTAAGGAAGTCAAAAAGGTAGTAGAAAATGCAGCAGTGAATCATGGAAAGTGGGTAAAAGTGATGGGAAGATTGGAAGCAAATTTGTGAGGGAGTGTCGGGGGAGACATTATTAATCATCGTCAGAGTCATATGATGTTTCACGAATAAAGAGGCACCGAAATGTTGAACTTGGATTGCCCACAACAGTGTGAATTCAATTAATACAGCTGTGGACTATATAGTGACTACAAATTGTGAAAAGGTTGTCTCAAAATGGGGTGAGGTGAGTAAAATACTTAAGAATTTTTTTTTTTTTAAAAAGTAGTTTGATCCATAAATATTAAGTAAGACAGCGAGTAACTTTTATATCTGAAAAAAAAAAAAATTATAGGAGCATATATGGGTAGTAGGGTAGTTGTTGTGCATTCTTTAGAGGGTAAATCTATTTTTATGTAATAACATGTAAATTATGAAAGATATACGTAGGCTATGTTTGACAAATTTAGTTGAAAGTTGAAAAGTTATAAATTAGGAGCTGAAAACTGAAGAGCAGTTAAGCTAGTTGCTATGTTTGAAAGTGTTTGGTAAAATTAGCTTTTTGATAAACTGATAAATGTAAAAAGACAGAAAATGACATTTTCATAAAATTTAAATTAGTTTGTTTACATATTAAAATTTAACATTTTGTGTGTTTTTTTTAAAAAAAAAAGAGTTAACACCTCTAATGGTCCTCCAAGTATTAGCGTTTTACCAGCTGTAGTCATCCGAGTTTTAGCTTATTAGTAGATTAAAATAAGTCAAACAGAGCCGTAAATATGGTAAAAGAATCTCTTAGGGACGTTTGGTTCAGGTTATTTAAAATAACAAAGGTTATATAACATTATATTCCTATACTTGGTTCACTACTACAGAATATAGCTTTAACCTCGGCTAAATGACCCCATTTAACCTCGGCTATCTTACGACGTCGACTAAATCGACGTTGTAAGAAAATAAACGACGTCAGTTATTTAACCGACGTCGTATGTTTTTTAATTTTTTTTTTAAATGATACGACGTCGGCTAATTGGCTATTAGCCGACGTCGTATAATTATATTAAATAATATATATACATACGGCGTCGGCTCCTCCATATAGCCGATGCCGTATGTATTTAATATTTTTTTTAAAATGATACGACGTCGGCTAATTGCCAATTAGCCGACGTCGTATCATTATTTTTTATTTATTAATATATATACGGCGTCGGCTATTGGTAATAGCCGACGTCGTATGTATTTAATTTCTTTTTTTAAATTATACGACGTCGACTAATTGCCAATTAGCCGACGCCGTATGTATTTAATTTGTTTTTTTTAATTATACGACGTCGGCTAAGACCAATAGCCGACGTCGTATCTATTTTTTTTTTTTTATATAGAAAAGGTTTTATGCTCTAGCCCAACCTGCGCTGCATGTGCAATCAGAACCTGTGCAGCTAGTTACATTCAGCATCAACATCAACTAATTCAAACTATATACTAAACATGAAACTAATTAAGCACAATGCAACAAAACTACATACTAAAACTAAAATTAATATAAATAACACAATACAACAAAACTACTAATTAACATCAAACCAATAAACACAAAGTAGTTTTAAACATAAACTAGTATCAAATTAACAACGTTTTATTAACCCATTCATCAATAAGAAACTTAGACCATTTGTTTCTAACGTCATCAATCTCTTGTTTGTTGTAGGGCAATCGTCCTTGTCTTTCCAAAATCTACAAAGTTCAAAAAAAAAAATAATAATAATAAATAACTAAATATTTTAAACAACATTTGAAAAAGAAATATGTATTATTAGATTACTTGCCTTATCCATTCATTTGCTTAGGTTGTTGGAAACAATTTCCCACATGAATTTCATCACATAATAACCACATTCGGTGCTTCCTTTTTGTATAGCACACTACATTTGAATTACAATAAAATTATTTTAAAATAGAAATAAAAAACAATAAGTTTGCATGTTTTACAAAGTGAAAGAAGTACTTACCAAACATGTAGTCCATTTCGATGAACGAGATTGTTTCTTTCCACTCATCATGCTTGTTGCAGTCATACACCTATTCATATAAGACATAAAATATATATAAATATTTGGCATCACTTGTTTAATAATAACTATTAATTCATTATATAAATTTACATACGTTTCCATTATATGTTTAATGTCTTCACGCGGCCCATGACCAAGTGAATCAAACCAAAAAATTTCATTTAATTTAGGACAAATCGCCATCAGCATCCAATGCTCACTACAAATAAGTAATTTATTAGTTATACGTAAATAAGTAAATATAATATAATATAAAAATATATTATATGTAAGCACTTTAATTTAAAACGTAATTAAAACTTACTTGAGAACGTATGGGGCTAAATACACATTTTTCTTCCCATACTGCATGGTGGCATTTATATATGATTTCCTTTCTTCTATATTATTCATTTTTGGTTGAATCGAATATAGATCTAGGAAACCATAAGTGTCTTTTGATGCCAACTCAAAATTGATGTAAATACCCCTATTCACAAATAGAACCAATTATACATAAATAATCAAGAATGTAAATATAAAACTATTATGCATAAACAATCATAAAGAACTTATTATTACCTTATAGAGAACTGAACTAGAGAAACATCGATGGTGTCCATACTTAAGAAACGCAATATCTCCACACTTTCAAGGTGCAAGTCATACTCAATCTCGCCCATAATACCACGAGCCACATGGATCACAAGATTTTGTTCGAAACGGCGAGCTATTGTAAAAGCCTTTTTGCACTCAGCAGTCAAAGAATCTAGAGCAATACTATTGTCCATGGTATTGTCTTTTAACTGTGAATTATAATACAAGTAAGAATTATAGTTTTAAAAAGTAAATTATTTAATATTTTAAAATAGAAATATTATCAGTATACATACCGCATTTGCTTCAGTACATAACTCTACCAGCTTCTTTGGCCAAATGATAAAGTGTTGGCATGCATCACTTACAAGCTTAACCTCACCGGTGGGGAATGGTACATGTGCAGTTGGATCACCAACATCGGTTATACTCACTTTCACATTGTTTACATCCAGTACAACCCCATGAACTTGTCTACCACTGTAAGCTGTCCCATATGCCACTGGACGTCTAATTGGATCTTCTAAAAACAATTGACATCGTGCCCCTAACTACAATAATTTTTAATTAAAAATCATATAAAATTTTATTGATAAATAATAATAAGATAACTATAAACGAATACTTACAGCCGGTAAATTACTAAAAGGGTCTGGGGAACTAGCTTTGTCACTGGGAGGTGGTGGCACAACATCCACACATACGGTTGTCACCTGCTTTGGCTGTAAAGGAGTCTGCATAGCACTAAATTGCAACATCATACTAGCTATTTTTGCCTCAAATTGCTCTGTTATACGTTGACCAAATTCCTCCCGTTCAGAAATATTTTCCTGCTTTTGTTTTTCTAACGCTTCTGCAACAGCAGCACCAACGGCAGCACCAACAGCAGCATCAACCAGTTGTTGAACATCTTCAGGAGTATTTTGGCAACGTTTTGCATGGCCAAAAACACTTTTGATGCCATGTCCTCTTCCCATGGCTCTAACACATCCACAATGCTCATCGGTACCCAATGCAACAGTCAATGAATCCTTTCTTCCATCCTCAATAAATTCTCCTTGAGAAATTTGCAACTCAAGAGCATCCTAACATATATAAAAATTATTCAATAATAATAACGATTAGATCATCATATATGTCCTCTTCACCTAACTTTTTCTGATTACAACATTTCTTACAAGGACACAACCACCTATTATTACTATTCGGAAGGTTACTCTTTGCAAAGTCTAAAAATTTTCTAACTCCATCTTCGTATTCCGTACTAAGTCGATTAGCTATCATCCAACTTTTATCCATCACGTACAAGCCAATCTAGATAATAATAACTCTAATTAAACATTTGTTAACACTATTTTAACAAATTTCGATAATAATAACTGCTACAACAACTACAATAATTTTAGCATTTACATAATGCAAACAAGTAGCATTTAATGGACGCAAACAAGGAGCATTTATTCATCACGTACAAGCCAATTTAGGTAAAATAATAATAATCATTTGTCAATTCTAGATGCTTTCTTATACATCCTAACTAACCAAAGAATATGTCAAACACAATGTGAATTGAATCTTGCTAAACACAATAGACAAATTGCGTACCCGAGACTGGCGGAGAACAGTGGAGGAGGAGCGCAGCAAGGACTGAACTTAGTCAAACCGGATTGACGCCTAACAAAAAATAAACCTATCAAATATTTTCGAAGTAGCAATATAAATTATAGGCTAATTTTAGCCTAAGTAATCGCAACCTCTATATGGCAACCATTCAATGGTATGTGATACCCAATATTTTATAGTGTATCAAATACAATATATTACAGTATGTATCATTTAGAAATTTATTGCCAAACATAACAATAATACTTCTTTACATTCATTAGATACTATTCATGAATTGAATAACCATATCATGAATTTAAAAGGAATAATTAAATCAACAAGAGTACGCATTCAAGTCAAAGAAGAAATCAAACACTCGTTTTGACTAAAAATATATTGAGAAAATTATAATTTATGTCCCTCCATAATACCTCAACTATTAATGTCACTTCTAATAAACATGGTACATTAGTGCAATAGAGAGTGCACCGACACAAATATGAGAGTGCACTTACTAATAAACATGGTACATTAGTGCACCAACGACAAAAAATTAGTGCACTTGCGGTATGTATCAATAATATTTCTTGAAATGGTATATAGTTAAACATAAAATTCTCAATAATTCATAAAATTTCGAAATATACACACAACAATTCATAATT